CGTTCGACACCCCTTGCACGCTTGTACGAGTTGTCGAAGTTATTGCGGATGTGATAGTCGCAGATGTACCAACTTCTTCAGTTGGTCTTGCGATTTGTTCAGCCGGGTAGATCCCCGCAGCTGCAGTAGTCATCTCGGTCGCCAGGGTCGTGTGCTGAGTTTGGGCCGCTGACGACTGAGTTTCCATGATAATTCCTGCCAACAGCAAGAAATCAAGACCCTCGAGAACGTCAGATATCCCAACAATAGTAGTAGTATCAGTCTTAACGACTGGTCCTACAAGAATGACTCCCTTAAGGCTAAGTAAAACTGATAAGGGAATAACCTTCACAGAAGGACACAATCCATACCTGAAGAGGAACCAGACTCGACGATTGGTTCAACAAGCTCGGGGATTGGTTCAATAACTTCAATGAGGGGTTCAGCCGTTTCAAAGACTGGCTCAACGGCGTCGATGACCGGTTCGGCAGTTTCGACAACTGGTTCAATAGCATCTCGGCAAGATTGTTCTGATAACATGTCGTCAAGTAGTCTGTCACCAGAGCCCGAGGGATCTTGTAAAGGATCAGACGGAAGTACACCGGTTGCATGATGAGAGGTTCCTTTATCACTCGGGTCTTCCATTGGAACATCTGAAGAAAATTCTAAGTATCAAGACATGGAAAGAGAGGTTGAAAATCAGCAATTCGAATAATTTCAAGATGAATATCGAAACATGGCTCACCAATAACTACTGAAGGTTCTCTAGTTTGACACACTGCGTTCGACGCCCATTGCACGCTTGCACGAGTTGTCGAAGTTATTGCGGATGTAATAGTCGCAGATGTACCGACTTCTTCAGTTGGTCTTGCGATTTGTTCAGCCGGGTAGATCCCCGCAGCTGCAGTAGTCATCTCGGTCGCCAGGGTCGTGTGCTGAGTTTGGGCCGCTGACGACTGAGTTTCCATGATAATTCCTGCCAACAGCAAGAAATCAAGACCCTCGAGAACGTCAGATATCCCAACAATAGTAGTAGTATCAGTCTTAACGACTGGTCCTACAAGAATGACTCCCTTAAGGCTAAGTAAAACTGATAAGGGAATGACCCTCACATAAGGACGAAATCCATACCTGCAGAGGAACCAGCCTCGACGATTGGTTCAACAAGCTCGGGGACTGGTTCAATAACCTCAATAACGGGTTCAACCGTTTCAAAGACCGGCTCAACGGCGTCGATGACCGGTTCGGCAGTTTCAACAACTGGTTCAATAGCATCTCGGCGAGTTTGTTCTGACAACATGTCGTCAAGAAGTCTGTTATCAGAGCCCGAGGGGTCTTGCAAGGGATCAGACGAAAGTGCATCAGATGTATGATGAAATGTTTCTTTATCACTCGGGCCTTCCATTGGAACATTTGAAGAAAATTCTAAGTATCAAGACATGGAAAGAGAGGTTGAAAACCAGCGATGAAAGAAAGAACTTCACCTCCGGGGATGACGGCACGTTCTTCAATCCCAACGCCAACAATCGCATCCTGTAGTTTTTCTAAAAGAGCCAGAAGCATGTAAGCAATTAGAGGAGGAACGAGCTCTGAGTCGTTTAATACCCGAGATTGCCATCTAAAAGGTGTACTACCAGTAATGGGAGTACCTGGACTAGCAACCACCGTCGACGAATCAGTTCCAACACCCGTCAAAGCCTGGCCCACGGCCTCATCCGCTTGTGGCATAAGGCATGACTCCCCAAAAAAGCCTATATCGGGAGAGGGGGGGTCGCACATCATCGTGTCTTCGTTATGACCCCCTGGGACATAGAATTTACTAAGTTTGAGGCTTGGTAAAAAAATGAGAATGATTGAAATATTACCTTCTCCACCAACGGGTGCATCGCCGATCGCCTCCGTTTGAGAAGTCTGAAGTTTAGTGGGGCGCTTGATGGTTAACTTTAACCTTTTCGTGGGCCGGGTCTCTTGGAGATCCACAGGTCTATCTTGTATGGATATGGCAGGTGGCTCAACTTGCGATCCCGCTTGAGCTATGGTCCGAGATCGGGCACGGGTAACGAGGCCACCTCCCTCTTCCTCCTCGGAATCTACATTTGAAAGTTCAACAATCATCCTATTGTAAGTAGGCAAAATTCTCCATTTTTTACGAGCTTTAAGTCGACGAGCTCGATCAGCAATCGACAAGTCCCATAGTTCTTTACAAAAAGATTCAGACAAACCTGCCGCGTTTTCCTCAAAACCACTGTTGACTTCTGTAGCAACATCGGCAGCGAATTCACCTTCTTCGGAAGTTTCCTCTTCAGAAGCAAATGACTCTTCTTCTATTTCCCTCATTTTCTGCTTGCCTTTGCCTGAGGGACCAGCGAGCTTCTTTTCGCGCCTCCTTCGTTCCAATACATCCTCTCGAACTATCCTCGCAGCGATGCGCGATGCAGCTTCTGTCATCAGATCCTCAATCGACCGCAGGGGGACGGGGTTGTCAGCAATCATGATCCATTTACAGCATAGATATGTGAGCTCTAGATGACGATCAGTGTTCGGCAGATAGAACTTGGCACCGGTACAACCCGTTGCATTCCACAGCCAGGCGCGAACGCCATCCACTAGTCCGCCGCGAGTATTAAACTTTGGATTCGGATTCCCGACGTATAATTGATCATATCCGAATTGACGTGCGAACCGGCACGGCAAATAGGGCTCCAAATAGCAGCGCTCCTTTACTCGGAAAAGGAGATGGCCTGGCCTTATGTTCATGAGCCATCTGAAACAGCCGACATCGAGAGAGGTCCGGTCAGTACCGGGTGCTTCCACATCAGCAAGCATCCCGCTATATCTACCAGGAAATCGGGGAAGGCATGGGTTGATTACCCAACCTTTGTGCATGTGTAAGCTCTTTCTTATATCCGGGAAGGTCCGAATTGGCCATTTACACTCCTCATATAGTTGTAGCAAAGGAGTGGACAGATCTGCACTCTTAGGAGGTGTCATCAAATCAGGACGATGGAGAACTAGCCATCCCATCAAATAGGTATAAGGGAATTCCGTCTTCGGCATGGGGATCTTCACGGAGGGGGTACTTTCAGTCTGAGTGAAAGTTGTGGTCAGCTGGCGAAGCCCACGATGAATACCGGCGATCATGGCTGGCAAGAGGGATAGGCTTCTCCCATGAGCAAGCTGAACAGCGGGAAACAGTACTTCAATCGGCAAGGCATCTGAAGTTTGGTACGGCACTACGCATTTCTTCAACCAGAGTGCAATATAACCGGCCAGCAAGGTCTTAGGATGGATAGACTTCTCCGCTTGCAATAAGAAAGTCCTGAACTTGGTTCCTGCACAAAATCGGTCTTGAGCACTCGCGATGGTGTAGGAGCGGGCGTCGCATTTTTTAATCAACTTATCAATCTCTGAACGGGCCAACGGTTCCAGTTCACAAATATCTTCACCAGTTTTCTCCAAATTCTTAAACAAGTAGCAGGAGAATTGCTTCAAGCTTATTTGAGGAGATTTCTTCCTCGCAACCGGATTAGCGCCAGCTAAAGCAATTTGATAATGACACGTGAGCTCCCATAATGTGTCATATCGGGCAGGTTTATGAGTCTTTAACTTTTGTAGCTCCTGATTGGAGGGAAAATATTCTTGATACGGGATATCTCCCAACTGAAGTCCGGATACTTTGTGCATTTCGTGAAAAGGTAATCCCAATTCTCCATTCCGTGTCACAAAGGTATTAGAATCTGGATTATACAGTTCCATCAACCCCAAGAAGTGAAGAGCGTTCACCATTAACCCGTATTGAGTGGCCCGAATGGCTTCATACAATCTCATGGACTTTAACTCAGTGCCCCAGCGGTGGAGGACATAACCTGTCATCCGACCCCACCATGCTTTGTCGGAAGAATGAGACCACCCAAAACATCGATAATTCTCGATGGGTAGCTCACGTCCTAGTTCAGCGAGACGATTCTTCACAGTACGAGCTCTTATAGGCAGCTCCCCTTTAGGCGGGTCCTCCAGTCCCATCACGCCCGGGTGTAACCCTGTGATATGTCTTCTGCCACGAGAACCCGGAAGTGAATGGCTGGTGACGTACCCACAAGAGATACTGGCATGTTCCTCTGTCAAGGTCCACGGCATCTGTCGCGTTACCGCTTGTCCGCGCAGTTCTGTTAGTGAACGGTGACGAGGGAATGGAGGAAGGTATAAGCAAGTTGTGCCGTCACTGTGTAGCCACCGCTCATCCACAAGCTTTACGACATCAGGATCCGTCACAGAATCGCCGAACAGATAATGAGTCTCCCTTAAAGGATGATCAGGATCCGTATCCTCAGCAAACGGCGCGCCGGTAATTAATTGATGCGTGATGCGACGACTTCCCTCCCGTACCAACTTACAGAATTCATCCGGAAGGTCCAAGGCGAATTGAGAAGTGCGTGGGATTGACGCCGGATTATCAACGGCAGTGTAATAACTACTCCTATGGCCATCTATCTCGTATTGAGAAAACGGCGTTGCAGGATATTCAACTGAAACAAGTAACGCATGTTTATCATACGTAGTTATAAAAAAATATTCAGGCGACACAGGGGGTCGAACTCTTTTCACCAAATAGGGTCGCCCTCTTGTAATTGGCGAGACGATTTTAGCGGTATTACGAATTCACAAGGTAACGTACATCTTCACGCAAGTGATGCAGTGATGTACCCTATCTTAAGGAACGTAATACGGCAGAAAATCGCCCCATATGGCCTTAAGACGCGTTTTGACCAAGCAAAACGTATCCGGTAAGCATCCACCCCCACGAAGGAGGGTATCAACTCTTCCCAACTGCCTCACCAAGGAGGACAGGGCGGGGATGTAATATAGAAGCATCCACCCCCACAAAGGAGGGTATCGGCTCTTCCTGGCTGCCTCACCAAGGAGGACAGATAGGGTATGCGATATGCAGCATGATATAAGAATTCTAAATTCAGGAACAGAAAATTACAAAGGCTTACCAGTAAAAGACAAGTGCTCCCTCTCAGGTGATTGAGTGGCTGAGCGGCTCCTCGGGAGGCGCGATCTCCTCGTCGACATAGCTAATCTGCAATGAAGACCAACAGCTCAGTCAGATCAAGAATCAAAATACATGAATCAAAGACTATAAGGGAAATTGTGAATCTTTAATTGAAATTCTACAAAATGGAATTTTCCAATTAAGGGTCCAATTAAACCTATACGACATTCTCGGTTCAAGTTAAGTGTCACCGAGTTAAACATAAGGTCTCGATCATGTCAACATGCAGATTCACGAACTCAGTCATGTATAAGTTCGAATTCAAGGCATATAAAGTTCTTGAGTCATGTACAAATTCGGATCCAAGGCATACACAAGTTGGGATACAAGGTTGGATTCAGTCGCATAGAGTTCAATCATGTACAAGTTCGAACCATACAAGAGTGCAATCACATACAAGGATTCATTTATGCACGAATTCAGTTATATACAAAGCTCGAGTACCATACAAGAGTGCAATCACATACAAGGATTCATTTATGCACGAATTCAGTTATATACAAAGCTCGAGTCATACACAAGCTCGAATCATTTATGCACGAATTCAGTTATATACAAAGCTCGAGTCATACACAAGCTCGAATTCAAATAATTCGGGCGCATACAAGTTTGGATTCAAGTTCTCGAGCCACGTACAAGTTCGAGTTCAATCGTATATCAGGTTCGACCACGTGCAACCAAATTCAGGGAATTCTCATTCAAATACATGCACAAGATCAAATTCAAGTCATCAATCAAAGGCTATTTCGGCCATGTACAAGTTTAGGCTCCACTCAAATACACTACAAGTCTGAATGCAATCATCAACAATTAACCAAGAGTCAAAATTCGACCTCGACAAGGCACAAGTCCAAGAGCACCAACTCAAGAAATCAGTCATGCCACAATTTTTTTAGCCATGAACAGTCCAAAGTTTCGGCCAACAAAGAGTTCTTTTAGGCATCAATTTCAGGTTTTTCCCCACCACAAGAATTAAAGTTCAATTACCAAACTAAAGGTCACAGACAAAACCAAAATTGAAGCAGAAGCATTCGAGGTTCACCTGAACTCGAGAAGAGCGTGATCTGAGTTGGGAAAATCCACCACTAAGCAAAACTTGAATCTGAGGCAAAGAGGGAGCTGAGATCCTGACAAGAAATCAGAGTGAAAAAAAAAAAAAAACCAAGTCAAATCGAAGAGGGGTGGCCAAAATCAAGAACAGAAAACTTAATTCTAACTTAAAATTCGGAATTAGGGTTTCAAACCCCCTTTACAATTGAGAACACAAGATGAAACTTAGCCAAAGTTGAGGATGACGCCTACCTGAATCAAAGTCGGCGAATTCGAGGAGGAGAATCGCACCAAGCCGTTGAAAACCTAGCTCTTGACTTCGGTTGGAACAAAGGATAGAGTGAAAACCGAGTCAAATTGAAAGGGGGTAACCAAGATCAAGATTATAAAGCTTAATTCGTACCTGAAATCGAAATCCAAGGCAGGAACTCCACTCGATGCTTAAGCTCGAACTCACGTTGGAAGAATCACAAACCCTAGGTTTTAATCTCCCTTTACTCAGATCCAAGTTGGAAGAAGAGGAGAAGGAATCAGTGTGGAATTTAAAGGGTTTAGGGAGTTCTGATCTTGGAGAAGTTCTTGGATGGCTGGAATTCATGGAGAAAAGAAACCGAACAGGGGCTGGAACCGATGAAGAAGGAAGAAGAAGAAGCAAAGAATCGGGATTTTTTATCACTTTGTCCCCCCATCCGACCCGCGTTCCGCGGGTCGGATTCATGTCCGACCCGCGTGCTCGCGGGTCGGATTAATCCGACCCGCGATCACGCGAGTCGGATCTATCTGACCCGCGTGAACGCGGGTCAGACTCAATTCAGTGTCCGTTTTGCAGTATTTTCGTCCGTTTTCGTCCGTTTTCGAAATTTTCGAAGCTTAACCTCATCTCCCGGACAATTTCACGGTGTTTTTGCTCACATTTGGAATGTTCAGAGTTCGACTTCATTTCCCGGAATATTCGGGACCGTTCAATTCCGTCTCCCAAATAATTGCGAGATATTTTCGTCTATTTCCAGAATATTCGAGACCCAATTTTATATTTTGGGTGATTTCGTGATTTTTCACCTATTTTGGTATATTCGGGACCCAATTTTATATTTTGGGTGATTTCGCGATATTTTGAGTGATTGTCAGAATATTTGAAATCCAAACTCCAACGGGTACATGAGTCTAAACTGTTTCCCATTCAGACAGGAAGTTCCTAGAGAATATTACAGATAATAATTCTTAAGGATAACCTGGCAAACTCCAACGGGTACATGAGTCTAAACTGTTTCCCATTTTGACGGGAAGTTCCTAGAGAATATTACAAATAATAATTCTTAAGGATAACCTGGCAACCTCCGACGGATACACGAGGTTAAACTGATTCCCGAAACTCCCAGGAGTACACGAGTATAAACTGGTTCTCCTCAGGTTAACGCGAAACCCTAAGGTCAACGCCGGTCAACGCGTAGCCTTAGGTCAACGTCGGTCAACGCGTTGCGATGAAAGTCAACACCGATCGATTCGAAACCCTAAGGTCAACGTCGGTCAACGCGTAGCCCTAGGTCAACGCCAGTCAACGCGTTGCAATTGATCCAAAAGTCAACTCAATGACATATCAACAAAAAAAATCCACTCACCAATTCTGGTTCAAGGCTTCAACAACGGTCAGACGATAAACGCAGTACTGAGAAAATCTTAGCTATTCGACAAAATACGGAATACGCTAAAATATGGAGAAGTTAAGAATCGAAACCATCTGTAGCTCCTTTAACACCGAATGAAGGTGGGGATCCATCATATCCAAAGCGTTTCAGACTCCTCTATAAAGGAATGAGGCTGAAACACTTTGGAGGGGGTATCTGTAGGCGTCTAAAATTGTCTACGAGAGCCCGCACGAAACTCGAAGCAATGAATGGGCGAGTCAAGAAGATTCGTCAAACCAACTCGTGCGCGTCGGTCAAACGCGTGCACGTCAATCAACTCGTGCGCGCCAGTCAACGCGCGCACGTCGATCAGCCCGTGCGCGTCGGTCAACGCGCGTACGTCGAATCAACTCGTACGCGCCGGTCAAACGCGTGCACGTCAACCAACTCGTGTGCGCCGGTCAACGCGCGCACGTCAACCAACTCGTGCGCGCCAGTCAACGAGTGCACGTCAAATCACCTCGTGCGCGCCAGTCAACGCGCGCACGTCAATCAGCCCGCGCGCATCGATCAGCACGCGTATATTAACCAATGCGCGTTCAACGATTGGTCTCGCGACGAAGCATACAAATCAACAAATCTATCGAATACGCGACAAGAACAAGACCCGGAAGAAAGAAACCAAAAAAGGAGAAAGTCGGCGAACCCGCGCCTTGCGCAGGACGGAATGATCCGACCCGCGCAAGCGCGGGACGGACCAATCCGACCCGCGCAAGCGCGGGTCGGACCAATCCGACCCGCGCAAGCGCTGGTCGGATTATTCCGACCCGCGCGAGCGCGGGTCAGATTGTTCTGCCACGCAGTAAAGTTCCAAAACACGTTTTGACGGTTTTAAATTGGTTTTTTGCAGGGTTTATCGGTTCCAGGGGTTCTTAACTGACTTGAGATCATCCCCAAACGTGGTTAGGCTGCTGTTGACTGAAGATAGAGCCAAATCCCTTGTTCTTATCCAAATAACCGCATTTTGAGGCCTATAAATATGAACCAAAGGCCTCCATTTTCTGGATCTGGAATTTTATCAAGAGGACGAGGTGCTGCTGGATTGGAGGGTGAAGGAGCACGAATTTCAGCAAAGGACAGCGAGATCCCGGTGAACTTCAGCACAAAGGAGAAGTCGTTCGAAGGATCAGAAGCCCGTACGTCCGTTCCTTGAGATTAGGCTTAGTCTTAATCTCGAGAAGAGCCCTGATGAAGGCGAAGCTCTGTCAAATTTTCTATAACCGGATCTGATTCAAGGTCGTCCACGGATTAACCCCGGCACCGGCTAAAGACCCACGCAAGCAAGAGCCGATAAACGGATCTTGTGTTTATTTTCAAGAAAGTTGTAATCTTTTTCTTTTGTTATTTGAATTCATTTGTAACGCTTAAAGTTAATGAAATCAATGACTAAGGTGACTTTCAACGGAAACAGCTTGGGAATCATAAATTTGAGGATCATGAATAGAGCTTTGTTAGGAAAATAGCTCTGGAAATGGTTTGATGGAAGTCCTGGTCTTTGGAAACAAATTAGTTTTCATAAATATTTTGAAAAAAAGAGTTGGACAGAGTTTTTATACTCTAGGAGAGTTCTTTTATCACATTTTTGGAGGAATCTCTTTGTTAATATTGAAAGTTTTTTATGCAGCTCTCAACTGGAGGTTGGAAAAGGAAATTACACTTTATTTTGGCTTGACAAGTGGGTAGGCTCATTTACTCTTGCAGCTCTTTTTCCATCTTTATTTGCTATTTCATCCTTTCCTTTTTCTACTGTTAGTAGCATAAGGAAAAAAGAAAATAATATGTAGAGATGGGTTGTCAAATTTAAGAGACAGTTAACTGGGATTTTTGTTTCCCAGTTTTTTTCTTTGATGAATTTACTTAATTCCATTTCTATAGAGCAAAATGAAGATAAAAGAAAATGGTTGTGGGAGACAAAAGAGAGCTTCACTTAATTCCATTTCTATAGAGCAAAATGAAGATAAAAGAAAATGGTTGTGGGAGACAAAAGAGAGCTTCACAGTAAAATCTTTCTATCAATTTTTATGAAGATAAAAGAAAATGGTTGTGGGAGACAAAAGAGAGCTTCACAGTAAAATCTTTCTATCAATTTTTAATTGATGGAGGTTTGAGGTATGAATGTAAAAATCTTTGGAAGCTCCCTATTCCTTTAAAAGTGAAGTTCCTTATCTGGTTGGCTCTAAGACAGAGTTTGAATACAAAAGATATACTGGGAAAAAAAGGAATTCATTTGAAAAATGTTTGATGTTTATGCTCTAAATTGGAAGAGAATCATACACATTTATTCATCAAGTGTGATTTTGTTTACTCAATATGGAAATCAATTCAATTCAAACTAGAAACTGAAGATAATTTTAATTTTGGATCCTTAAAAGAAGTATGGCTCAACTGGGAAGTTGGTGATGATGAGAATTGCAAAATTAAAAGAGATGTTTTCATTTGTTCTCTAGTTTGGTGTGTATGGCAGGAGCGCAATGACAAACTTTTTTCTAATAAAAGGAAGAGATCTCTTGAGCTTTTAAACAAAATCATGACTTTCTCAACCTTTTGGTTAGGTTCTAAGATTGCTTCTGCTCGGGCTACCAGACTACAGGAAAGAAGACGGAAGAGGATTGTTGATAGTCTGCAAGTGGTTGGAGCTGCTAGAAGAGAAAACAGAGATTTGGTGAATGCGGTGATCCAGCTCGAATGATTTGTAATCAGCTCAGTCTTGATTTTGTCCTCTATCTGATCTTTAAAACTTTCTTAAAGTTGGATTTGGTTTACTTTTGGTTTTTATTAACACCTATTAGGTTCATATCCTTGTGGAGGGATGCATGGTTGGGTACAGAGTGGTGTTTTTTTTGCATACTTTGTAGTTTTTTGTAGTGGACTTCAATACACACTTTTGGTTGGGAGTGTGTAGGTTTATGTAACAACCACTTTTGTTAATATTTAGCTGGCTGGATTACCTTTATGGTAATCCATCCTTTTTCTCAAAAAAAAATAGTTGAGAGGGGAGAAAGTATCCAGTGGAGACAGTCCATGACCTTCAATGTGCATCAAATAGGTGTCAATCATAGGATCCGTGCATGAGCCTCGATGTCCAATAATCCAATGGTTGACATTTTTTTAGTGCACACTAAATACCATGAACCGATGACCATTTGATACTTTCTCCTCCAAAGATACCGAACTAACCCAATAATTAATGAGGTTAGGAGAGACGAAAAATTGGGCGGGTTTGTCCCAAGCCCAGGTGCGGGGAACCAGTTCAGTTGTGGGCCGCGACCTTTAAGCTAGGTGGTTGAAACTAGGCTGGTCTAGGCTATGGGCTTTCCCGGCAAAATATTTTCACCGCCTCATTCTGTCTAATTTATTATGGGGACGGCAACACTCCATAGATGAGAACACACCAAAAGTTTCTTTTCTGTACAGAACTACCTCTACAAAGAAGTTGTTGCGTCATAACTAGGGCCTGGCGAAAGTTCAGAGATAAGGGATTTTGTGCGCAGCGAAAATTTCGGCAGAGTTTCTGGTGTACAATAAGAGAGGAATATCTCAATAAGAATTCCCGTCTCACCAAGGAAACAAGAATCTGAAGTGAATATCTCAACAAAGTGAGATATTCCTCTCATCAGTTCTAGGACTGACTTGT